GTGTGTAAAAGTCTCTGTGTGTAAAAGTGTCTGTGTGTAAAAGTTTCTGTGTGTAAAAGCGTCTGTGTGTAAAAGCGTCTGTGTGCAAAAAGCGTCTGTGTGTAAAAGCGTCTGTGTGTAAAAGCTTCTGTGTGTAAAAGCGTCTGTGTGTAAAAGCGTCTGTGTGTAAAAGCGTCTGTGCGTAAAAGCGTCTGTGCGTAAAAGCGTCTGTGTGTAAAAGCGTCTGTGTGTAAAAGCGTCTGTGTGTAAAAGCGTCTGTGTGTAAAAGCGTCTGTGTGTAAAAGTGTCTGTGTGTAAAAGCGTCTGTGTGTAAAAGCTTCTGTGTGTAAGAGCTTCTGTGTGTAAAAGCGTCTGTGTGTAAAAGCTTCTGTGTGTAAAAGCTTCTGTGTGTAAAAGCGTTTGTGTGTAAAAGTGTCTGTGTGTAAAAGCGTCTGTGTGTAAAAGCGTCTGTGTGTAAAAGCGTCTGTGTGTAAAAGCTTCTGTGTGTAAAAGCGTCTGTGTATGTAAAAGTCTCTGTGTGTAAAAGTTGTTGGGTGTAAAAGTCTCTCTATGCAAAATCGTCTGTGTGTAAAAGCGTCTGTGTGTAAAAGTCTCTGTGTGCAAAAGCGTCTGTCTGTAAAAAGTTCTGTGTATGAAAAACTTTACAAAAATACGATGCAAACTATTGTCTTGTACTAGTCATATATTGTCTTGATACTACTCTTCTCGTCTGCCTATAATACATCTTTATCATATTATCTTGTAATATAGTGTCTCCATACTAACAACAGAAGACTCTGCTCCTCTACGCTCTCGGGCCACCCGTCGTCTAGTTTTTGATATCATGATGGTTAAAGAATTGTGAGAAAACAAAAAACTCAAGGGTGTGTCAAGCAGGTTGGGAGGGTTGTAGTGTGTGTGTATATATTTATGTTTACAGTATACATATATATATTTCAAGCAATCCATGCATAACGCAGACGTTGAAAGTCTCACCTGGATCCGCGAGCTGCGGGATGATCAATGTTAATGAGACTGGATACGACCAGGGACATGGTGATAATGGGGATATAATGGGGATATATATATATATATATACATAATTTATAATGATAGATATAAATATATATATATAGTCGAATAATAAAAATGGGATAATTTATAAAGGGATAATGGAGGTTTTCCATTCCAAGGGGGTATCTCTAAATCATCCATTTTAATGGGGAAATAAGTCATAATGGGATAATCACCATTTATGGAACTCCCATAAATATATATATATATATATAAATGATTTGGATGGATACACTGGGATATGGGCAGTGGGATACAATGACACATCATCATGACACATCAGTATGCAATGAGATCCAAAATGGTGGTTTGATGGTTCACCTAGTGGGATACAATGGGATATAACTCGCTCTGTATAAAATGCATAAAATGCCACGATGAAACATCCAAGGGGATCATCGACACCGCACTCTCTCTATATTCTAACCTCTAGTCTGTAATTGCCATGGTAATCCACTGTATAATTTTGGATATTAGTATCAATATGTATCAATTAATAATTATCCATCGCGATCTATGCTGGGCATGGATCGTTGAACATTCCAATAGGGTCATCCAAGCAACGAGACTCAGTTTGAGAATCCGTTGGGTATGGGTCAGGCTCTGGAAAATCCAGCGCCTTTCGTGCTATGCAAATCAGGGATGGTCCATTGGTAACAATAAAGATGAAGCAAATCTGCGGTCAACGGGCCTCACCATGATGGCAGATCTTCACAGGGTGCACAGTTGTAATTTCCTTTCCCAATCAACTTCGCGAAATAGCTTTACTGGTTGCTGGTTTGGAACATTTTTTATTTTCCACAATATATGGGATAATCCTTCCCATTGACTTTCATATTTTTCGGAGGGGTTGAAACCACCAACCAGATGGGTATGGGTCAATACCTATAGATACATTTTTAGTGGGATGAACATCCATTTACAAGCTATTTTGGGGTTCACTAGTTACCAGGGTTTTGACCCATCCCCAGATGATCATTGGTGAAATCACATGAAATCGCCATTGTTGCTGGTTTCGTAGCACCTTTTTTTCCCCTATCCGTTCCTGGGATCATCCCATGAATGGTAACTGGTTAAGCCTGGTGATCGTCATTTCTCCAAATAGGAACATCACTAAATCATCATCAATCATCGAACCAACATGGGACCAAAAAGCGTTATCTAAAGCAACAGAAACCTTTGTTTCATATATAAACATATATATATTTGTTTTTGATACTCATAATCCCCTTAAGCTGGTTCAATAACCACTATATTAGACTATATTCCCTTTACATATGCCATCTATAGCCATTTTACATCAGGCGTGAGCCTCCTCCAAGTGGAGCGTCGCCCGGGCGTGGTCCGCTTCGGCGCACCGATGCTCCTGGAGGAAAGCGCCGCTTTCGGCGCAGCGTCGGAAAACGACAAAGAGTCCGTGGAGCTGCTACGCTTCGTGACGCCCTACAAGACACTGGGACGAGCCAAGGGTCGAAGATGTGGGAAAAGAATGGAAGATATATTATGGGAGTTAAGGAGAGTTAAGGGGATGTTAATGGGATTTAATCGGATTTAATGGGGAAAAAAGTATATTAATAGGATTTGAAGGTATATTAACAGGATTGATTGGGATATTAACGAGATATTAATTGTGAGTGGGATTTCATGGATATTAACGGGAATTCATGGAATTAGACAACTTTTATTGGGATTTTATTATTGGGATTCTATGGTGGTTTATAAGGGTTTATAAGGATTAGTAGGGACTCATGTTGATTAATAATGAGAACTATCCACTGGGGACACTATCCAATGTATACGCATATATGTACACATGACACCCTGGCAAAGAGGGCGAACAGGGCGAGAAAAATCCATGGCTGGCGAGGTTGTTGTTTTGCAACCATAGAATCGGGATGATCATGATGATTGGTTGAGATGACGAACATCTTTTGGGGAATGGTTTTTTTTCACCGCCAATCAGATGGGAATTCACCACAGATGGGAATATTTTTTGTTTAAAAAGTGATTCCGCGGGGAATCAACATAGAAATTGGGATCGAAGAGAAGATGATGGTGGTTGACGATTGGTTCAGGTTAGACTACAATTATATTTACATACATCTTGCGGACTATCATGATTTATGCTTGAAGTGGGAATCCCTAAATCAAATACATTTTATGATATGTTTATGATATGTGTATGATATTTCTATATATTTCTCATATCTATCAACCAATACTCCCATTTCCCATCCCATGAAATATATCATGTGGGGTGAGAACGGGATTTCCATGGTGAGTTCACTCAGCTACACCAGGACAAACAGCCTACTTTCCCTACTTATAAATTGGGGTTACAACCCACTTACGAACTTCCATTGAGCCACAAAAGTCAACATAAACATGTGATTTAGGGGATACGAGTGACTGGGGATATAATGGGATATAGAATGCACAATATGCAATTTGGATATGTCTGCCAATAGGGCATACCATAGAACTTACAGAGTTTAGTAGGGAAAATGATAATTAACCAGCGGGTTTAGCATTACCCTTAAGACAGACCCAACTTGAAGACATATGGAATTTGAAACTGACCATTCGGCTTTGTCTCTTCAAAAACAAATATCCCAGCAACAGACCCCAACCGATGAGTAGTTTGGATTCTAAAGGGAAAGGTTGAAAGGACCCAAAATCATCAGTGGCTCCAAGCTAGCAGGACAAGAGCGACCCTAGTAGTGAAAGCATGGTGTTCATTCTCAAGCTTAGCAGGACAAGAGCGACCCTAGTAGTGAAAGCATGGTGTTCATTCTCAAGCTGGTCTCTGGAAGAAGAGATACCAGGTTAGATTCTGCAAGTTCCCTTTGTCACGATCTCTGTAGAAGCTGCTGCGCAAGGTCCCTTTGTAAGGCTATCTGTCCCTTTGTAAGGCTATCTTTGCAAGGTGTCTATAAGAGATCTCCACAGAAGATTTCTGTCAAAGATCTCAAAGTAAGATCTCTGTTCAAGCTCTCCAAAATTGGTCTCTTGGCAAAATCTCTGTAAGAGACCTCTTGGCAAGATCTTTGTACAGATCTCTAAAAGAGGCCTCTTAGCAAGATCTCTGTGCACGCTCCCTAGTACACGCTCCCGATAAGAGGTCCCTTTCTATGTCGGAGACCTCTTGGCAAGATCTCTGCAACAGATCTCTATGCAATGTCTCTGTACAAGATCTCCATAAGAGGTGTCTTGGCAAGATCTCTGTACAAGATCTCTACAAGAGGTGTCTTGGCGAGATCTCTTTACGAGGTCTCTGCAAAAGCTGTCCAAAGAGCTCTCTTGCCAAGTTCTCTGTAAGGAAAGGGACCACTTGGCAAGATTTCAACAGATCTCCATGCAATGTCTCTCTGTGCAAGATCTCTATAAGAGGTCTCTTGGCAAGCTCTCTGCACAAGGTCCGTATTAGAGGTCTCTTGGCAAGTTCTGTTTCAGAGATCTCTTCGCAAGCTCTCCATAAGCGCTCTGTTGGCAAGATCTCGGCAATAGACCTCTTGGCAAGATTTCTGTACAAGCTCCATATAAGAGGTCTCTGGGCAAGATGCCTTGAAAAGATTTCTGTAGAAGTTTTTGTAAGAGCTCTGTTGGCAAGATCTCTGTAAGAGTTTTGTTGGCATTCGCAAGATCTTTCTACAGAATCTCTGTAGGAGCTCTCTTCGCAAGATCTCTATAAGACGTCTCCGTGGCAAGATCTCTGCACAAGTTCTCTATAGAAGACCTCCGTGCCAAGATCTGTGCACAAGATCTCCTTGACAATCGAAATGGGGATCTGACACGCCCAAAGTGCCGAGGGTCTTGCGCGAGAGATTTCAAAATTCGCACCGCACCACACCGAGAGCGATCCCCCAAAATGCCGAGCCGGTTGCGCGAGCGATCTCAAAATGAGCACCGCGCCACAACGAGAGCGATCTGAGAGGCCCAAAGTGACGAGACGGTTGCGCGAGAGGTCTCCGGGCAACTGTTTCGTGCGAGACTTCCGTCACAAAAACGGAAGATTAAGGAGCAATTATGCAGTAAGGGTCATGAAATTTGCCAGACACGGATGACACCACCTCGAAAATGAACACCCGGTCACCCGGCCATGGCTGCTGGTGATCTCAATGGATGATATTCCCAGCTCTTGAAGAGGTACTTTTTCACAAGAGCTTGTAAACCATCTGCAAAATAAGCACTTTCCATCCAGCCATGTTTGCAATGCTGGTTTAACACGGAGTAATTTTTCGGTTTGCGGGTTTGTTGTGTCTTTGTCCTGTATTTTCGTTGAATAGAAACCTTGATTTTGCATTTGCCAATTGTGCGTGTCCTAGTCCTAGCCTGTTTTGATGCAGACTTTTGTTCGATCCAGAATCTTCTGACAGCAGCAGAAAGTGGTTGCCAATGAAGTTATCACCATCAAGAACGCCATGCGATGGCACCCGTCTTGTAAGGGGGCCATATAGAGTTCCATTGGCAAAACGACGCCGTCAACCGACACACGCAAAATCAAAGTGAAGTACAGCATCACTTGGCTTTTAGGGTACCAGAAACAAGGTGCGGTACCAGAAGCAAGGCGCTTAGTCAGGCTACACCAAAATCACCTTCAACAGGTGTTTTTTTCTAGCCAGATACACAGGCATGTTCGTGGTTCCAACCACTTCCAGTTTGGGCACAGGTCCAAACCCATGATACCCCTTGGAGGGCTAGTAGTTAGAATCAATGAATCCCAACCGTGAAGGGAAATGGATTTGTCCAGAAATGTGATACGGGATGATACAGGTGTACCTCCAGCAATGGCCGGGCAGTAATCCACATAGTTACGATTTATATAAATATATTTATTTATTTATTTTGTGTTTATATTTATGTTTACATATATCAGACTATATAGATATCAGATTTTTTAACACAACATATACGGGATCCATTTTCAGTGGCAGTTTTTTTTGTCAGAAGAACTATCAGGTTATAATTCGTGGGGACCAGAGGAAGTAGAGTAATTTAGGGTACCGGGTATGCACATCCAGGATAGTTACACTGGAAACGGGCTTTTTACAAGGTTGCCCCCCTAGAGAGCCAAGTTAGTCATCATAACTCCAACAACTAGGGTTTTTGGCTATTATAATTTTAGTTAAATGGTTTACAGAAAAACTTATAATGTGGGGATCACCTTGTATGAGTTAAGGCAAGTCGGATTTCTTCGGGAACCTCAGATGTTTGCCATGTCACCATGTGTTTTAGCCATCATGACCTTGGTACCTAAATAACATCTAGTACGTGTGATTGAAAAAAACAATTGGCTGGAATTCAAACACGGCTCAGGCATGAACTGCGAACAAGAAAAGCATGTGACGTTGATATGTTCTTGAGGTACTGTAGGGGTAAGATGTCCTTCTTCCCGCTGGTTGGCTCATAAGACATACAGCCCCGGATCGAACCACCAGCAGATTTGTAATTTCAAATGATGATTAGTGAAGACAAGTGGTATGCCAAACCGCCCCTGTCAAAAGGGAGTTGCCATTTTAGAACGGAAGACGTTATTTGGGGAACCCTGGCCAAAGCCCAGGTTTTACAAATCTTGGATCGGCGTGAAAGATAATGCCAGATCTCTTGGCAACTCCGCTTTATAAGCGCATGTCTACCTGAAGCTGCAACACATTCAGTCCCAACAGGTCCAAAGTGTCATGGATGAATGACATTTGGTTGACGATGGTTGAAGGTGGTTTAGCCCAACAGTGATCGCAGACATGCGGCCGGTTACACGGCACGACAGGCAGTTGCCAGGTTTGCTGGGAGCCAGCTACGGTTGATTATGAGGGGATCATCCCAGTTGCCTTGGCTGGCACGTCCCCCGGGGGGCATCGGATGCACGCTTTGGAGATTTGTTCGCACAGAACCTACTATTTGGGCACAAGTTGTCTGGTTGGGTGTTTGCCCCTCAGCGCAGCAGGTTCTCCATTGAACAGCCGCATGACCTTTCAGTTTCCTGCTATTTGATGCGTTCACCCCACCTTAACTCCAAATTCCAACGGGCTCTAAGGGTGCCCTGTAATCGTCCACATCAAACCGCGCCATTCAACTGAGGACACCTTTGGACGCCGTGGTAGATATCACTGCGTACTCTCAGTGCCTCGAATCAAGACGGACTTGCATGGGATTGGTTTGGAACCATCCTGGTTGGCATTCTATAGTTTCCCACAGTATGACCCACAAGATTTCTTTACGGCCTCCCCGAACCTCTGACAAACAATCCCAAATTAATAAGTGTCAGCATGTAGGGAAACTGTTTGAAGGCAATGCGAAAATATGAGGTGGACACATTTGGTATTGGAATTATTGGTTCCGCCGTTGTATGTTGTAGGAACGTCACCCGATTGATAGCAGATGATGTTTGCCAGCTGGGCATCGCCAACCAACGTTTGTTAAGATGACGTTAGCTGGCCAAATTTCCGGCACGTATCTATTACTGGATTATACTTGTGGACTTTGTTGGTGAAGCACCCCGCGATTGCTGGCAACATACGCGTGCCTGGATGCATTTGTCACCATGCAGCAGTTCTTTTTTGTTGTTAGTGAAAACGCCCATTGTGATTGGATGAATCGGTGCGCTTGTCGTTCAGCTAGTTGTCTTGGAATGAAGTATTTATTTGATGAAATCCGATTTTTTCTGGTCCAATAATCCAATATGATTTTTTTTTAATTTTGTGGTTCCTGGTGCCACCTCCAATTGAATACCAGCCTCGTTGGGGCCACGTCTGCAGATTGATGAAATCGTTGATCTCCAGTGGTCCGGTGGAGTTCTACGTCGCCATCGACACCTGGGTTAGCAACGATACACGCAGCAAGGTGTTGTATATCAGCAACGTCTCTGAACCTTGGTGCCCAAAGATTGGAACCTTTGTTTTGGGGGATGGCAAAATTGGGATTTGAACATTTCTTCAAACATATTTCTTCAATTTTCTTAAAGGGTTGGTTCGTGGATTGTTGGTTAGTCTATAATTAGAAGAGTCAAGAACCGCGAAGCGTTTCAATCGATGGGTTGAGTTTTTGTTTTCGTGGTTTGGGACTTTTTGGTCTCATGCGGTTGGGAATTTGAAAAAACACGCATTTGAGACTATAGATGAGACTATTATAGACTCGCGCATGTTAAACGATCTTTTCATGTCTGTGCGCCCAGTTTTGACCCAAAATTAAAAAGGACGGTTTCTGTGAAATGCAGGATGTACACGATCTCACCACGCATGTGAATTAGTCAAGAGACAAGAGAATTCAGCACCCAACACTTGGCTTTGGAGTGGTGAACCACTAGCATTTGCAAAAACCTGTGGTTATCAGTATGAATAGGTTTGGTGACAGTGAAAATGCATATTACAACGACGACAAGCGCCTACACATCTACGTGCAGACTTGACAATTGATTCACAATCACTGACCTTGAAAAAATGACTGTGTGTCACAATATTGCACGCCCCAGTGTGCAAATCTGTTTGATCCCATGTTTCAAACACACACACACACTGATCATGGCACCCTACATGAGAATTGTGTTAACGAAACTAAATGATTATGGCACCAGGGAAATCAAGCATGACGAAATTCCCAGTTGACCTTGGGTTCCTGTTGCGGCGCATCCCCGACATATCCAATAATGTGATCCCTAGACCTGCGACCAATAAGTAGCCTCATTGTCTCCACTTGTGATTCGTCAAACATCCCCATTGCAAACCCTTGTTGTTGATGATGTTCGCATGAGTACGGATGAAAACCCCAGTTTGGTAGTATCTAAATTATGTTGCTAAAAATTGATCGGTTTGTTGGGTAGAGATTCAAGATCCTAAATTATATTGGTTTCTGTGCGCGCCCCATTTTTTAAGGAAGTCTTGCAGAATTGCTGCGTTTCAGATAGGATAGATAGATAAATAGATAGATAGATAGACAGACAGACAGTCAGATAGATACACACATAGAAAGGCAGGTAAACAGGTAGACAGGTAATCAGATAAGTCAGACAGACAAATATTGTAGTCAGATAGATAAATAGGTAGGTAGATAGATAGATAGGTAGGTAGATAGATAGATATATAGATAGTAAGATAGATATTTAGATAGACAGACAGAGAGACAGACAGATAGATAGGCCGACAGACAGATAGATAGATATTTAGATCGATAGATAGATAGATAGGTAGATAGATAGATAGATAGATAGACAGTTTGAAAGGCAGACATATAGATGGATAGACAGACAGACAGATAGGTAGATAGATAGGCAAATCAATAGATAGACAAATAGGCAGGCAGTCAGGTAGGCAGGTAGTCGGATAGTCTGCTGGACAGATAGTCAGACAGATAGATACATAGATAGATAGACATACGGACAGATAGATAGACAGACAGAAAGAGAGATAGTAAGATAGATAGATAGATAGATAGACAGATTAACAGATAGACAGAGTAACGGATAGACAAATAGCCAGATAGAGAAAGATATAGATACTGTAGATAGATAGATCGATAGATAGATAGATCGATAGACAGATAGATAGATAGATAGATAAATAGATAGATAGATTAGATGGGTTAGATAGGTTTAATAGGTTAGATAGGTTAGATAGGTTAGATATATTAAATAGATTAGAAAGATAAGATAGATAAAATATATACGATAGATCGATAGATCAATGGATGGATGGATAGATGGATGGATGGATAGATAGATGGATGGATAGATAGATGGATAACCAGATCGATAGGTAGATGAACAGATGGATGGATGGATAGATAGATGGATGGATAGATAGATGGATAGCCAAGATCGATAGGTAGATGAATAGATAGATAGACAGACAGACAGAAAGAGAGAGAGAGATAGATAGATAGATAGACAGATTAACAGATAGACAGAGTAACAGATAGACAAATAGACAGATAGAGAAAGATATAGATACTGTATATAGATAGATCGATTGATCGATCGATCGATCGATAGATAGATAGATAGATTAGATAGATAGGTAGATAGATAGGTAGATAGATAGATAGATAGACAGATTAACAGATAGACAGAGTAACAGATAGACAAATAGACAGATAGAGAAAGATATAGATACTGTATATAGATAGATCGATTGATCGATCGATCGATAGATAGATAGATAGATTAGATAGATAGGTAGATAGATAGGTAGATAGATAGGTAGATAGATAGATCGATTGATAGATAAATAGGTTGGTCGGTAGGTAGGTAGATATAGAAAGAGAGAGATTCAGAGCTTCAACCACCTGTCGATCCGTCAGTTTTCTCTGATATCCATGCACCACAACAACTCACCTCTTCTATCGGTTTCCTATCTTTGAAACTTCCAGCACCACTTTGTGCGGTTCTACTTGTTCAATATAAAATGACAGAATATAAAATAACACAATGCCCTTTTTGATATAGCACAAGACACTTTAAAGCATCGTATAGAGATTAGTAAATTGACATACAAAATACACAGAGAAACCGAAGTTCTGATTGCCCTCTTTCCAAATTTTTCGCGATCCATCCCCTCGAAACCAAATTCCCCAGGACTCGTGCACCAAAATTTGGACCTCGCAGGGCAATGCCTGGAACGTCTCCTTGGACTTCGTCCAATGGCCGCGGCTGCCAGCAGAGCCGGTACAGTTCCTCGCAGAACGGAACTGGTCGTTTCATAAAGGGGATTTACCGTGGTAACCATTAAGGAAGTCGGGGATTTCCTCCAAAAACATGGGATTCATGGGGGATGGATGGGGATGAATATAGCAATTAGTGTAGATCTAATTGAACAGCCTTTGGCGTGTTCCGCCAGCCACCATGGAAAGAACTATTCTGCAAGCAGCAAACAGGGTTTGAACACGCCCAGCAAGAACATTGTTTTTGCAGAAAACATGGTGTTTGTGTATAACACGTTTTTTTTTGTGTAAAAGAACATGTTGTGTAAAACACGGGTTTGACGCAAAAACATTGTTTTTGTTCAAACCAAAAAAATGAACTAAAACATGTGGGTAAACCAGGGTTCTGGAAGAGGCCATATATAGAAAATTTATGCGTGTAAAGGTGTCCGGCACAAAATGGATATAAGAAACCACGGAGCAAATCGATGGCAAACACAAAAAAGGCGGAAACACCCATGGAAATGACAGCAACATGTTCAAAACCAAACCGGTGTTGAGCGAGGCGCGGGCAGAGCTGAACCCAGCAGAACGTAAGGCAGGAAAAGTCAAGACGAAACGAAGATGATGAAGAGCTACGCCAGTTAGTTGGCAAAAATCCGCGCCAAAGAGAAAGTCTAGACAAAAACAAAACAGACAGCACAACTGCAAACAAACAAAATCCACAAGACACGCCGGCAGGCCGGCGGATTTGGGTGCGTATGTCTTAAAGTCGGACCATGCAATTGCCATTTGATGCGAAGTACGATTTTCAACCATGAAATTGAAATTACAAATTAGTCTATGTTCGGACCTTCCCAAACCACCGACAATTCATGAAATTTGTTTCTGTTATGCAGTTATGCATTCAAACAACCATTTTTTAGGGGACCAAAAACAAACAAAAGAAACACTCTGGATTTGATCAAGGTGGGACATTTGTTGATAATAAAATTGTATGATTACATGGGCGAAAAATTGTACAATTATAATCCATTATGTAATACATGTTCACCATCTGACAACCTCACAGAACCAATGTTGAGGATATACTTAACATTTTTTTTTGCTTGTATGACCAATGAACATGGGGTATCAAACCCTTTGGTCCAAACTTTTACGCCGGAAATTGGACGGTTTAAGCCCAATGGATTCAACTGTACGCAGGGAACGGCAGTTTTGTTGGGGAAATTGTTGGGGCCCCAAGTTCGCAGGGGACACGGATTTAGGGTAACTCGCAATGAAATCTGTGATGCCGAACATAGAAAAAATCGTTCAAAGATGAATACAGTTCATCATGTACTGTTTGGCGTTTTCAGTTTTTGTTTATTTCAATTTCATACTATTTCATAGGTTTCCCACTCCAGATGGGATAACTATATGGTACATGTCTGCAAATGGGGTACCGAAGGGGGAGCAATGGGGAGCATAAGTTTTCCCATCAAAATCGTTATTGTATGGGTATCCAGCATGTTCATTCATTTTCAGACTCATCCAAGTTGGATCTAGTTGTTTTATGTTGTTTTTACATCCAACATATTATATCAACATCAATAAAATCATCAATATCCCCTGAAATACCCCATATATCCAACATATGATATCCCCACCAATAGCCCCTGGAATCAACATATTACCCTCTGGTAAACTAACATAACTATGGAAAATCACAATTTTCAATGGGAAAATCCACTATAAGTGGCCATTTTCCATAACTATTTTGACATAACCAGAGGGTATCCGGTGGAATCTCCAATCGGGGTGAGGCCAAAAAGGACCATTCTCCTGGCCGAGAGTTTTCCCAATCCACTGCTGGCGATCGGTCACTTTTTCCGACTGCTGGTGGATCTTGATGGGGACTTTTTTGGGTGATTTAATGATGATTTAATGGTGATTTAAGCGGATTTAATGGTGATTTAAGGGGGTTTAATGGTGATTGAATTGAGTTTAATGGAGACTTTTTGTGTGTTCACAATGAACAACAAGCATTTGTGGTGATCTTGACTGGGATTTTTGATGGAATGAATGAAAAGGTGCCTCCTACTTGCAATGGATTCAATGGGTTTAACTCATGGGATACAGTGGGATATCAACGGGTTTTTCATCCCCCGGTCGATGTTGGTTGGTTTGGGGACTTAATCAACAAGAGAAACGGATGCTGCTTAAATGGTGATTCACGAGCAGAACTTGGGATGGAACCGGTTTGCTAAGATGTAACGACATACTGTATTGTACCTTCTGGTAACCAAACGTGGCAATATCCGCCATTTAGAGTATTTAGAGTTTATTTTCCCATGAAAACCTCCAAATGTATGGAGAATTTCCCATTGCACAGTTTGATTACCGGAGGGTAACCGGTGAATTCACCATTCGGTTCGTGGTTTTTGGATGTTTTTGGTGCCTTGCGAGATTGAGAGACCTCAGCCTGAAACCTGGAAGGTGTCCTTTAGTTAGGTTACTATACCTAAGTTTTACAAACTTAATATATATATTATATATAATATGTATATATATATATATATACATCCCCCCACTACAGTATTGTATATACATATATATATATATACACAACATTGTTTTATAGTGTCAGTCTCACATATGCTTTCCATAGTTCCCATCTCCAAATGTGTTTTCGATTTCTTGCCGGCCTCGCTGCTCAGGTGAAGTGAAGGCCTATGAAGGCACACTCAAAGGCTGGGAATGGCTGGATCTATAGACCCATACCCATTGGGAGGGGCAGGGGTGCCTCGGGGGGGCCTGTATCACATATATATATAGTATCTATTTATTTGTTGGATATTGTATATTGTACATATATATATATATATACATATGTATACATATATATACATATATATATATATATTTACATAACACATATATAGCAATATGCATATACAACTAACTGGCCAATTAATTGGACAATCAGTAACTCCCCGGATGTTCGTCCACCCGAAGACATGGTACTCGTATCAGAGTTTTTGAATGTTTTTGACTCAAACGGTCATTGTTCCCAAAGTAAGCCATCCAGTTTTAGAAGGTGAATACGATTGTCATTTTTTCAGGGTCGCAGCCTTACATGTAAACCTCACACTTGGGATTTTGGGATTGAGGAAGACAGATCGTTGGCCAGGAACTTTTGGTGAATGAAGTCAGAATATGCCAAGATATGCCCTCTTGTAATTTAGGAAATGGAAAATCATCGGTTTCAATCAGTAAGTCATCTATAAATGGGCCATTGTCCAAAACCATGCTAAATTACCAGAAGGTACATGATGTCCTCATAAAATTTGGAGACCAAATACTTCACGGCTCAACAGATCAAGTGTGAGGTTGCTTGACGATTACTCATAAAATTGAAACTGTTTTGCCAAGATTTTCGGAAATTCTTCCGGATTCCAGATATTGAAATTTGCACCATCCTTGTTATGCTGGCACCCAATGAAAGATGTGCAGGAAATTGACTGTGATTATATATTTTCTACATGTTAGATTGTCGTTATTGCTCCAGATTTTATATCGATCACAACTTAGTGCTAGGTGTTGTTGATCCAATCTATCCCTCAGTGCTGTTTGTTGTGATGATTGATCCAACAATCATGACTAGGTTGTGATTAACACTGATGTTTTCTCCAGGTGATCACGTGACTCTTTCCAGTGAAGAGACCCTGACATCTGCCAACGTCTACTCCTGTCCTTCTGGCGTGGACCGCTTCAAGAAGGACCGGTTTTTGTTATGTGTTTGTTGCTGAAGTTTTTTTTGTGAGTCAATGGTTCGAACAAAGTTGGAGTCATTTTGAGCCTCGATTGAAATATTCCAAACATTGCATATTATATATACATGTGTATATATATATATATGTATGTATATATATATATATGTATGTATATATATATATATATACATACACATATATATATATAATATGTATGGAAACCCCAGTTTTAGTGGTTTTGATGCCGATCGGGAGAGTCGTTCATATGCCAGAATTGGTTGAAGGAAACCTGTAGATTTGTTTATATAAACCATGGTTTCCGGTTCAAAAAACATGAATTTCCCCTAGACCAATCCACTTCTCTTCCTGCCGAGTGGGTCCCGGCTTGATGTTGTACATTTGGGACTTTTCATCTGGGCTTCAAGCAGGCTATATAGCTATTATACAAAACGTATGTAGAGGGATATAGAGAGATAGACAGAAGATTCGATTACAATTGCACAGATACATAGAACACACTTCCCTCGAGCATGTTCCAAAAAAACACGTTGCTCAGGATGCCACCCTGGGATCTCTGGCTCAAGAAGCTCAGCAAATGGTGGGGATTCCCAGGAGATGGTGACGATGGTGAGCTGAAAAATCATTGGGATTTGACCAACTAAACCCAGATATAATATCCATTAGCCTCTGGTAATTTATAGTGATTTAATGGGATTTATAGTGATTTAATGGGATTTATAGTGATTTAATGGGATTTTATGGTGATTCAATGGGATATTGATGGGATATACCCTCTGGTTATGTCAAAATAGCTATTGAAAATGACCATTTATAGTGAGTTTTCCCATGAAAAATGGTGGATCTTTCCATAGCTACGTTAAATTACCAGAGGGTACGTATCATTGACTAGAGTATTCATTCATATATGGGATTGTTACAACCTTAAAATGTCTTATATGATTCTGGTTTAAGATACTTACGACTTATAAACCATTATACTGATACATATTGGTTTATAACTTTAGTATTCATGGGGTTAACCAACTTATAACTGGGATTATGGGATTAACATCGGATCATATATGGGATTGTAATGTATGTGGGATTGTATGGGATTGTATGTGATGATAGGTGGTATGATCGACGTTAAACAGTTTTCTCCCTTTTTTTTGGAAGACCATCAGAGGGGTTCAAATCAGCGGGTTCCACAAAGAATAGTGAAAAAACATGAAATGAATTATTATTTTGATCAGCTATTAGAAATTATGGAAAAACTGGTGTAGTTATGAGATTTTAAAGATATATAGGTTTATGAATATATGTATGTCCCGAATCATTTTTTGCAAAATTCTGTGTACCTGGATTCTTGGGATGACTTATTTAATTGCCCCCTACTGTGGTTGAGAATCGGATATAGGTTATGATGTTGATAATCAAATGATCACTGTTTGATAGTTCAGATCACATCTTATGACGTTTTTTTCACAGTTAAATCACGTGTTGTTTTTTGTCATTCTGGTCCATAGACCCTATGGTGCGTTGAAACCAAGTATTTTTTTTACATTTCTGGATGGGTCAAAGTCTCTTGACATGGTAATAGCTCAAGATCAATCAATCATTCACATTTTGTGATGGTTAAGAGGCCCCAAGAAATGCATTGATTTCCGATTTTCTGGGTGCATGGGTGCTCTAATTTGAACCATACCCAACAATCCTACCTTGAGCCCAACTATCATTTTCTTCGTTAATGCCCATAAATTGAAGACCCCTTGCCCATGTTTGGACAAACATGGTTTAAAATCCAAAGTTTGACAATCAATTCCGTTCCTGGATTTTATCCCATTTTTTTTTTAAAATAGTAAAAACAAACCACCAAATTCTTCATGCGTTTTGTTGCACCATGGATGGTTTAAAATCGCTGTTTTCCCCCGAGGTGCTGGCCCAGGACGTGATCAACGACACGGTGCTGGAGAACATCACCGTTTCGTTGCAGGCGGACAAAAAAAGCCTGGAATCATGGTTAGTAAGGGGACAATTATCCCAATATGGGTATGGATCAATACCTATTAATACCATTTTTAGGGGGATGAACATCCATTTACCAGCTATTTTGATCTTAACAATATTAATCTAATATGATCTTCACAATATTACCCTCTGGTTATGACTAACATAGCCATGGAAAGATCCACCATTTTATAGCTAGGTATACCATCTATAGATGGGCCATTTTCCATGGCTATGTTAAATAACCAGATGGTAATCATAATTATATTACTATGATTATTAATGTAATAATATTAATATGATTAAAATGATCCTAATCATCATTATCCCAATGTGATTATTAATATGGTCTTATTTCAGGTTAGTGAATTATGATCATTGATGAGTAACTAGTACACAAAACCAAGTAGATTCCAGAATATGGATTGACTAAATTGGTGTCATGTGATTATCTATGATGATGATTAATTTATAAATAGTCACCCGATTCATTTTGAACATCAACACATGAAAAACATGAATGTCACTGTCTGCATTTTTGCGGATGGACTGGGGATGTTGGGATTTAATATGGTTTAATGGGATTGGTTGGTTATTAAATGTTGGGATTACACCATCATCTAATAAAGTGTCAAAAGGGGTTTTAACCAGCCAAAATGGGTATGTATTGATTAACAATAGTTGAGTTGGTTGTGAATAGGGCTTTGAACCATCAACAATATGGAATACTATTCATACTATGTTCACACAAACCCCATTGATCTTCAGTTTCTAAAGTACAATTTGGTCGAATGTCACTATATCCCTATGGATCCAGCCGTACCTTCTTAGGAAGTACGACTGGCTATGATTTTCTCGGGGGTTAGCCGTACCTTCTCAGACAGTGTTTGGATCCATACCGGGTATAACACGACATATTATGGAGGTCCGAAATCCCCACCTTTCCTGCCACAAGCTGTGGCAACGACGTTGTTGCGTCATCCAGGCCCTCTATTTGCCCGAGATGGTGAACCCCAACATGATTCATAGCGAGATTCTGAAGATGTTGCCCAACACCCAGGAATTTGAGATCTTATTGTCCTCAAAAGTATCTCAGCGCAACCAAAATGACCTGTTGTCTTTTAATTGTGTGTGTTTGCCCATACTATCCATGTATATATATATACATGTACATATATAGATATAGAGAATACATACGCATATCACATAGCTACTATAGATAGATAGACATGTATGATACATGTTAAATACTTCATTGTACCATTGTTTTTTGATGTTTTGATGCAGGGAAAGAGACAACCCTTCTTTCACCATGACTTTGTGGGCGCGCAGCAGACCCCGATGCTCCCTGCTGGTGGTAGTGGTTCGTCCCCCATGTTTATGGGAATATTTGGCAAAACTCCGTGAAAAAAAATGAGATTTCCTCTTCTATGGCTTGGATGAAAGCCTTCCTAATATCAAATACCCCCTGTAGATTAGCACCTCATTTAGGGGGATGATGTGCCCAAAATTCATCAGACAGTTGAGAGTAAACCGTGTTTCCCACCGGGGTGGTACTGACACACAGAACAGCGGGAGATTTGCTTGACCCAAAAAAGGACTTTCAGCCAACCAAAAATCGGGATTTTGCCAAGAAAACATGGTAGGATCTGACCAACAAGACTCGGGAGCACAACAAACTGCTGGCGGAACAGCGATTTCGGTCCCTCAAAATGGAATGAAAATCCAAAGCCCCTCGCCCCTCGCCGTATGGGACTTGGAGTGTCCAGTCCCAGAATGCCCACTTTTGTTTCCAAGACATGTACGTGTGTGTCCAAAACATTCCGAAACTATTTAAGCGCCCAACATGTCGCTATGTTCAGATAATGATGGGAAACTTATGATCATTGATCGGTGTTTTTAGCTACTGGACTTTGTTGTCATCATTTTCAGACACAGCGCTCAGGCAAATCTCACAAAAGACATGCCAGTCTACATCACCGGAGCTGTGCGAGATAAGCCATACACTGCAACGATTTGGTTCAATATGTCCTTGCCATTTCTGCCCATGGGATGCTGGACGGCGGTTCTCAAACTGGTTAATGGGTGTTGATGGGATATATGATATATGAATTGTGGGTCTAGTGTTTTTGTATTAAAGGACATATTTGATGATGTATATATATATATACACATGAATGGAATATTTCATGAAATTACTAAAGAATTACCTTATCACCAACTTGATATGTTTTTCCTTGACCGGTGGTTGAGGGAGTGGTGGTCCCCTATTTGAGTCTACCTTTATATTCCAACCCAAGTCATTTCTTTTTTTGCTTTTCAGCACCCAAAACATCCCAAAGCTATGTCCATTTGTTTGTCCATTTGTGCCTGTTCCTTTGCATACTTTAAGAGGCTTAAAGCATGAGTCAAGTTTAGTTAAGTTACGTCCAGTGATGCCACATCACTTTTTCAGAACTGGGTTTTCTTTCAGTTTCTGAAAGACCCAATGATCGGTCAATATCGTTGGCAAAAAAGAACTAAAACTATTGCTTTGGTTGCTTTTATCGCCATTTATGTTCATATATGTTCATATATTTTCATAATGATCTCAGTATTTCAAATTATTGGATATATTCAAATTATTCAAAACTAGAACTAGACACATGTCAGCCTCAGGATACATCAAAGAAGTCTTCAACGACACTCATGCCTTGATGAATGTGACCAAACACCACTGTGCCTGGACGACGATTCGCAACAAAAAACGGGAAGAACGAAATGGGTACTAACGGGAATATTGACTATCGTATACTACCCTGGTTGGTGGTTTCAAACATGAATTTGTTTTTCCATAATATATGGGATGTCATCCTTCCCATTGATTTTTCAATATGGTTAAAACCACCAACCAGTATCAATTGATGTGATGTTTATTGGGATTTTATAGGTAAGACTTAAGGGATGTAGTAGTAGCCTCTGGAGATTTATGTTACACAGCTATGGGGAAATCACCATCTTCGCTAGGTACATCATATCAAAAATGGTCAAATTTTCCATAGCTATAGTAAATTACTATAGAGGGTACCTGAAACGTTGTGGTATGAGTCAGCGGGACTTCAGCTTTGCTGTTGACAATTTGAGTGTGGGTCAAGAGTGTCGTACTCAGCCAGTAGATGTTGATGGATTTGCGTCACTGTGTAAGACTTGATGACTTGGTTGTTTAGGTTCATTCCCTAAATGGAGGATTTTTTTTCACGCAGCGAAAGCTGTTCTTATCCAATAGCCACATACCTTCCATGCAAAGCAAGGGGGAACTCCACCGCCAGGTATCTTTTCTTTGAATAGCAGCTCTTTACCCACTTTGAAGGTTCCTGTTGATGAGCATGTGACACTTGGACATGGGCTACAAAACAAAGGTGCTGGGTCTGGGTGAAGTTTGAATAAGGTTGACCAATTTGAGATATTTTAAGATAAATTAAGTATTTAGTATCTAGTCTACTTATTTTAGTCGGCCATGCAAATTCGGTACTCAGTTTGTTAGCCATATGGATAAGGGCAAGAGGGTATCTCCAAATCTCTTGGTTTATCATCATTTTTCCTGCTGAATAGCCATAGGTGGTATGCCCCATTCACAGATAAAGCCATATATCATACATCATAACTATACCCTATGGATCCAAGTACCTTCTTAGGAAGAGGGCCGAGGATAAATTCAACCAATGGGAGATATCATGGGAATATTTATATATATATATATAATTGGACACTTATCAAACAAATATATCCTGAAGATTTTCGAGATATTCCAGTTTTAGTTTTTTTTTGAAGTTTCCGTATTCCACCTTCTGCAAGATGACTGTATATGTACATAATTAACTTGATATAATATCCCTTTTGATCCAAACACTGTCTGAGAAGGTACTCAACCCCCTAAATCATACCCCAAGTACTGACCTCAGCGCTGTCAGGAAGGGGTTGGGAATGCCAACAGAATGCTTGAATATTTAAGGCCGGTCTTTTGGGATTCCACCGTTTTCCTGTAAACGCATTCATAATATAGACAAAATGTGTGTATAATACTGTGTATATATAGCCTCGTCCCAGGTCCTAGAACTGCGCAAACCCGAATTAGGTTGGTAAAACTTGTCAATTCCGTGACGAAATTTCGTCGCGGAATTGACAAGTTTCATTAGGGTCATCATCATTATCATCATCATCATCATCATCATCAGCATCATCACATCGTCATCGTCATCGTCATCATCATCATCACCATCATCATCATCATCATCATCATTGTCATTGTCATCGTCATCGTCATCATCACATCATCATCATCAGCATTAGTATCATCATCATCATCATCATCATCATCTGCAAGTTCACATGAACGTTAACATCCCACCCCATCCCCCCACCCCATCGTATGTAGCTCTAGGACCTGGGACGAGCCTATATATACATATATAATCATATATATATATTGTATATACACACCTAATGATGAAGACGCGTGCTTTGTAACTCATATCATGTCCCAGTCTTCGTGCTGTTTATGTTCATCACAAGTTTCACATCTTTACCTCATATCAGCCAAATATGAATTATATCAACTTCAAGTATGGGTTTGTCCAAGAAATCAGGTACCCTCATTTATCTGATGGTCAATCGTCAAGAGTATATGTATATTATAGACAAATCTTAAATATACATATGTGTATATATATACACATAAATATTTATATATATATATATTACAAATACATACATACATACATACATACATACATACATACATACATACATACATACATACCTACATACGTACATACGTACATACGTACATACGTACATACGTACATACGTACATACGTACATACGTACATACGTACATACGTACATACGTACATACGTACATACGTACATACGTACATACATACATACATACATACATACATATTGTATTGCACCATGTATCATAAAAGATATGGGGATGGGTCAATTACCAATTTCTATGGCAAAATCAGCCCAGGATCCAAGATACGGCCGACAAGCTCAAGGCCATCTTGCAGCACGGTGTCCAGCGCGGCGTGCAGATGCGCGCGAGTGGGCAACACAGCGCAGGGGAAACCTTGCGACTTGGCACTGGGGAATTCACCCATGGAGTCAACCCTAAACCCCGTTTACGGCTGTTTAAGGAAGGGAAGGTACCATGAACAAGTATTGTTTATCATGACTATTGAGTGAATACTCCCCTAATTAATAATCCATGGTTTATTAATCCGGGGTTGACATTAGAAATGGTGGTTTTACCATGAACAATTTAGGGAGCAAAACGTTTAATCGTTTAGTTTAGGTATCCATATTTTGTATGGGGGAGCCAAGGATCTACTAGTTTCCCAACTACACCACAATGGAGGTTTTTGTGGGCATAATATAGAGGTGTGCTGGAGGTATCCTGGGAAGCTAATGGGAACATTATGGACTATCAATAACCAACACGTAAAATGCTTCTGGGATTGCAAACCACATAAAGATGCAATGATGAAATATATTTAAGCATGTTTAAGTTTTAAGCATCTATCAATGTGGATTAAATGGGTATATAACCAATGATGAATCAGTCGGGAGAGGTAAAAGGTGGAAATCACCAGCAACATGATGGGGTTATGTTCAGCCAACAAGTGGGAATTTTTTATCATCGGGATCATTATTTTTTGGGATATTAATCAACATTGGTTTTCTTTCCTGGGACTCACCGCAAGTTACAACTGGCAAGTTAGGGACTTCCCACTTTTGAGGATCGACCTGAACAGTGGATTTCTTTACAGTTTTTGCCAGGACGCATCTAGAGGAAAACATGAAAACACCGTGTTTCTTAACCATTAGTTGTTGGTTGGGTTACCTGCACATGTTCAGTACAGTGCTGTTTTTTTTGGTCGGGGGTGGCCAACTTCCTCTTCCAATTTTGAGGGTGGCAATTCTGATGAACCATCTTGGGATGTGCCCTTTTTTGGAGAGAAACTACCCTCCGGTAATTTAACATAGCTATTGAAAATTGCCATTTATAGTTGGTCTACCCATTAAGAGTGGTGATTTTCCATAGTTTTTTGTATGTTCACCAGAGGGTAGTTCACCAAGAAATATTGGAATTTTACCAGGAACAACTCGGGATTAATGATTAATCCAGCGATCTTCGGTCAACCTACAAATGATGGTGAGCAGGGCGGAGCAGAAAAGTCGCTGGCGTTCTGAGCGAAATTGGATTGCAATTCGTCCAGGTATGCCCAGGTGTATGTTGTATGAACGGTAGAAGAACCAACCGTAAACTGTGGAACTAACCAACCAAAGTGGTTTTAGAACATTGTAGAACAATCTTTAAACTCACTAAGCGGGCAGCCCGGTCAAAATGAACATGCT